AAGAATCCTTCCAAGACTGTGTGGAAGGAGTCATCTATTTGTACAAATACATGGAATAATTATGTGCTTCAGTTTATGAAGGTTTCTAATATGCTTGAAGCAGATGCAGGGTTTCTTGTAAGAGACACAATTGTTTTTGTTTGTGAAATCTTGGATTGTTGCCCATGGTTCGAGTTTGCTGATCTTGAGGTCAGTAGTCTCTTAATTCCATATCTTTTTTCATTCTCCTTTTCTTTTTTAGTAAAAAGTTTATCTTTTTTTAGGTCATCAGCCTTTGACTTTTAGAACTCCACCTGTTAGTCTACCTAGACCAAGTTACTTAACAGGAATTGGAATGAGAAGAGTCTGTTCACTGGAGTTCAGACCACACTTAATGGATTCAGGGCTTGCAGATCCTCTTTTAGGCTCACTTGGAGTTCCAGGAGCTTCAGAGAGAAGCTTTTTACCTCAATATATCAACTATTTACAAAAACTCGAGCTACAATGGTGAAGTTGATTTTTGATTTATGTATTTTTCTTATTGTTTTTCATTTTCAGCTGGTAGCAATCTTCATAATCCAATTGCTCGATGGGATACAAAGTTTGAGACTGGTGCTAAAACAACTTTTTTGCAGCCTTTCTCTCCAATACTAGTTGCTGAAGATGAGGGTGAATGCATCAGGTATGCCACCTTTGTTTTCCCTTTGTCATGTTTGAATTGTTTGGAATTAGTTATGTTATGTCAATGTATGCTTTATCTTCCGTTTGATTGATATATATATATATATATATATATATATATATATATATATATATATATATATATATATATATAAATGACATGTATACATACTCCTGAAATTACCTATATTTGGCTGAAAACATGCAGACAAACTAATTTGACATATTAGTGCCTTGCAGCCTCTCAAAGTTCCTGCGTTCAGGTTATTCTTTTAGAAAGGAAACTGTCAAAGGAGATTGTCAAAGGAGAATTTAGTCATGGGTTTCTTTCAATGTTGTACATGTTTTGTTTTCTATAATAAATATTATGCAATATTAGCAATGTGTTACATTTACTTACTATTGGAATGATTATTTGTATTTGACATATTAGTGCAATGAGTTATCTTTATTGTTTATGGTATTTTATTTTGTATTATGAGACTTTTAATGTGTTATTTAATTTGAAAATTAGTAAATCTATCAAAAATATATAATTTTAAAAACATTTAAAATTATGACACGCAAAAATGCGAGTCGTCTTCCTTTATGACAGGGGCTTCCCTGATACGCATTGCGTGTCATAAACACGCGCGTCGTAAGGTTACGACACGCAAATGCGTGTCGTCTTCCTTTATGATAGGGCCTTCCTTGATACACATTGCATGTCATAACTGCGCGTCGTAAATGCGTGTCATAAATACGCGTCGTAAATACCCGTCGTAAATAGACAACGCGCAAAAGCGTGTTGTCTCTCGTTATGACAGGGCCTTCCTTGACACGCATTTGCGCGTCGTCTGAGCGTTTTACGACATGCATTGCGCGTCGTAAAAGGCTGTTTTTCTAGTAGTTATGAACTCATCGAGTTCTTCCTTATCAATAGAATTGAGACTTTTCAAATTAACTCGTCGAGTCCATCATTGGACTCGTCGAGTTCCTCAGTCTGTTAGCCCCTTCTTAACCCATTAAGCTATTATTCTTCAAACTAAGGCCCTATCTTCTGGATCCGAGCTGGAAATACGTTTAGAAGGGTAGAGTTTCCAACTTTACCCATTAAGGACCTCTCCCAACACATAAAAGTCAAACCCTAACCCAAAAGGGCTTAGATCCAACTCCAAAAGTCATCAAAACTTCAAGAAAGACCATGAGGTCATAGATCTGGACTCTAGGGACAATTTGGTCACGTAAAGTTCTCATCTTTACTTGCATGCATGACCTACTAGGGCTCAAACGACTAAAAAGATGGTCTAAAAGTTGCATGGGACTTCCATGGCCATAAAGTTGGCACCTTTATGCCATGAAGTCCCCTCAAGACCCTAGATCTGAAAGGTTTGCCCAAGTGGGACGTCCAAATCCCAACCATCAACATACTTGGACCAAAACATGAAAGAAAGCATCCTAAAACTTGATCTAAGCATGCCATGGACAAGGTTGAAGATTTATACCTCAGATGATTCAGAAATGAAGCCCAACTTCTGGATCTACTCTCCTCCCACACGTCCTTGCTCCTCCTTCAAGCTTCTTCTTCTTCAAACTCATTAAGAATGCATAAAGTTAGTTCACAATCACCAAAAATGGCTTAGGGTTTCGTGATTAGGGTTTTGGACAGTGGAGGATGGAAATGAGGCCAGCTTATGGGGGTTACGGTGTTTAAATAGGGTGCAAAACCCTGAAAATTAGGGTTTCATTCTATCAGCCTACTCGTCGAGTTGAGGCCTCTCAACTCGTCGAGTAGGTTTCTTAACCCGTGTCCCAATTCATCCCCACTCAACGAGTCTGGGGCTCCCAACTCATCGAGTTTCTCTACAAAAGTGAATAATTTATAAATTTAAATACATACCAGGAACCAGACGTTACAGGTGGTATTGGAGATGAGTTATTGAAAGTACAGACCACATGTGATAGTTTTTGACTGTTATTCATCTATTTTGTAAGACGTGACCGATTTACCCATTCGTTTTGTCTAAAGTGACCCAATAGACCTGAAAAAATCCACCTTATGCCCCCATAAAACAACAAAAATAGTTTAGGGACTGATTAAGCCAATTCTGAAATAATTGTAGGGCTACAATGTCATTTCCCGAAAAGTTAAGGGGTGTTTGGGATTGCTTTTTAAACTTTAAAAAAACTTTTGCCAAAATGACTTATTGACTTATAACTTTCTAAAAATGAGTTTATAAAAAAATGTTTAGATTAGCTTTTGTAGTTGGAAAGTCATAAGTTCAAAAATGTTTAGCTAGTTTTTATATGTAAAATGACCCAAAATGACTTATCGATGACTTTTCCAAAACTCAAATTTTTATGACTTCTTGAAACCTTGGTTTTTCTCCTTTACCAAAAAAACATTTTAAAATGAGTTTTCAAAAAGCCAAACAACTTTTTAACTTATTGGTTTTTTGAAAAAGTCAATAAATTAATATGTCAACGTAAGAAACAATCCCAAACACCCACTAACTACTTTGCTTCAGGGTTCCAATCCTAAAATCTTTAGGCCAATGTTTAAAAATTTGTAAATAGTTAATACAGAAAGAGTCTTCTACTCGAATGTGGAAGTCTTTAAATATACTTTGCTTTAGGAGATTTATTTGGTTAAATTTGTTGTTTTGTTTAGGTTTCTTCCCCTTTAGAATGAATGAGTGTTTCTAACTTTATGCTATTGCTCATTCGAAATCAATGGACTTAAAAAGCATATATTCTTTAAGGTAAATAATCTTGAAAAGAATTTGTTTATGAATAAGACATACAATGCTCCACTTCAACCTTTTGGTCTTCCACTATAGTTAGGCATAACTATAAGAAAGTTAAAGTGATACAATATTAAAATCATATGAAATTTAATTGTTATACACGTTCTCAGTCATACTGTAGTAATTGAATAATCTTTACTGCACATTTTTGTATCAAAGCACTATAAACTCCAACTTATGAACATGAAATAAAGTGGAAGAATCAGATCGACTTCGGACTTGATTTCTAGTGGTTTTGTGATAATGATAGGACTTTAAAAAGGTAAATTTTTTTACTTTTCCTTTATTGATGATTAGTGGGGTTCTTTCATTTTACACTTTTATTTGAAAACCCAAAAAGATCAAGACAACTCTAGTTTTACCCTTTTTTATGTAATTATCATTTGAGAGCATGCTTAGAGATTGGCCATACAAATACAACGTTTCTTGCTTTTTTATATGATATATTAAAAAATATAAGGAGATTCATGGTGAGAATCTTGTTATTTAAGTTAAAGAAAAGTTTATTTGGAAATTACAAAAATTACAAGGTTAGGTTCGCATGTAGTCTACCCCACATCCCCACTTAGGTGCGGTTTTGAACTCAAATCACCAAAAAAAAAATTACAATCATCGGACCTTTTTAGGCAGAAAAGGGTTGCTTTTTTAGAAACTGATTGCCCACTACACTATCCAAAGAACATAATGTGAGATGTAAATGGGACACATTATGACCTCTTAGATGGCTTACATAAAAAATGAATGCCTATAAGCTCAATTCAGAACTCAGTGGGTGTTTGAAAGTGTTTTTTAAAATGATTTATTAGTTTGTTGATTTTTTTTCAAAAAACCAATAAGTTAAAAATGTGTTTGGCTTCTTAGTGTTTTTCAATTAGTTTTTTGGCAAGGCAAAATAAGGAGTTTTTATAAAGTTAGTGATTCTTGATTTTTTCAAGAAGTCAATAAAAACTTTTTTCAAAAGCATTTTTGAGGTTAAAAAACACTCCAAACACCTCCTGAAACTCCTACACTGCATGCTGAGACTCAATGCGACATAAGTTTGAACTTATGTCAAACATGAACATAAAGATTTTAACCGACAAAACAAAACAACAAAAAATTCGGTGCATGGGTTTCTTTGAGTTTTGATGAACCATAAGTCTTGGATGCTAAAAATGTCGATGAGTCCACTCATTGTGTTCCATCTTATATAACCAATTATCTTTCTTTCACTTTCACCAACAATTCGCCTTTGTTCTTTTCCACTTTTTAATGAATGATTGCATGCCACTTGAATCGATATTTTCTCTTTTTATATGCTTGTTTGCAACTTCGAGTCTTCTTCTACGTCAAGATGCTTCAAATTTGTCTAATTTACCACCATTAAAATAAACAAGAAGGTGCCATATATGTTTGCAAAACTACATGAATTATTGCATACTTACTTTACCGAATATATTGATAGAAATAGTAAACAACCGGTATTGTCATCTCTATCTAATCTACTACATGGTATTTTTAGATAGATTTTGAAATATAATTATTACACCAATATAAGGAAACTTATCAAAATCTTCACATCAAGATTGCATATCGCATGCTGTCATTGACCATAAGATGATTAATCTCTGATACCCGCGAAAACTCCCCGGAAACCCAGATTCCATCAGCACCACCATGCGGGTGAGAAGATAGACATGATAGAAGCGAGAGTGGTGCTCTTACAATGCTGTAAATAAGAGAAAGACCATTCCACCCTTGTCTTGTATGGTGAGCTATAACCGGAATCTCGATTCCATTCCCTTCTCCAAACATGCTCTCATCGGCTACTTTCGTGCTCTTCTTCATATTCCGCCTCATCATCGCCAATACCCGCAACATAACTTTGGTTTCTTTAGGAAAAAAACTAAAATGGTTTTGAGTTTATGAGAGTAGAATTGGGAACCCCGGACTTGTTTCCATTTGGGTTTTGAATATGATGGTAATAATGGTGTGGTGAGTGCTGGTGCTTGTCACAAAGTGCTTTTTGTGTGGGCACTTGTAATTTTGTTTTTTAGTTTTTTTGTGGGTATTTATAATAGAATTCAAACACACTTGCACTATTAATATATTAATTTTACATACTTTAGGTTGGCATAATTTTCATTTGTTTTTAATGACGTTTAGCAAGATCTTGAATCTTACCTGTAACATTGTTATCCTCTTTTATATATATATATATATATATATATATATATATATATATATATATATATATATATATATATATATATATATATATATATTAGGTGTGAGACACATGCATTACATTGGTTTTTTTCAAATAAAAATTAAATATGAAATTCTAAACATTTGAGAAGTTTGAATTTATAAGAAAATTGAGAAAAATGTTGAATTATTAAAATTAAAGTGTTTTTTTCTTTTTTAAATTTAAACAAATAATTTAGATAAATAAATAAAAGAAACTAACGAGGCTTTAAATTAGAATTTTGAAATTAGAATGAATGTTCATTAATGAAATTGATATACATTTATTATTATATTTAAATATATAAATAAAATTTAATAAAATGAAAAAAAAAACCATAAAATTGACATGTGGAATAATTTTTAATTTAAAATAACAAAAAAAAATGAAATGTAGCAAAATGAATGAGAATATGACATGTGGCAAAAAGATCTTTATTTATTAGAGTATATATATATATATATATATATATATATATATATATATATATATATATATATATATATATATATATATTATGGTGAATAAAATTATAGATGGATAATTTTTTGATTGGAAGAATCAATACTTAAGACAGAGAGGGGATGTAGGTAAGAGCAGTGCCACAGGATTTGTTGCACTTTGTGCCAATCTTCTGATTCTTGTTTGCATTAAAGGTATGCACTTCATGAGTATTTGATTGTTATTTTAATATTTAAAATGTTTTGTAATACATATAAAGTTTAGATATTTCCTTATTTTATAGAATATAAGTTTGTTTAAGTAGTAAAATACTTATAAAGTATATATAGGTCTTTCTTTATTTTATAGAATTTAAGTTTGTTTAAGTAGTTGACACATTTTAGAATAGTATTGGGTTATTGAATTCGGATTCTAGTCATTCTACATAACAAATTTTAGAAAGCTTTTAAAAGTTTTTAATTTTTAGTTTTTGTAAAAAATTCGAATTAAAGAGAAGTTTCATTTCATTTAATTTTACATACATAAAATTTTTATTTTAGAATAAAAATCCTCCTAAATCAAAAACTAATTCAAATTACTTTTGAAATATTTTGTTTTTTAATTTTATGTATTTTTTTTCAACCTTTAAAGATTACGGCCACTTTATTTATATACAAATAAAAACTACAACCAAAGGACTTCTACCTCAGCGGTATCAGGTGGTGCCCTCCCTCCTTAAGATTGAGGGTTCAAGTCCTGTGGTGGACATATGTGAAATTAGATATTAATTTAAGAGTAGATTATAATATTTATATTTGCCTGTTAAAAAAAAAACTACAAACATATAACTACCCCCTGTTTTTAAGGAACATACCATTGAACATTATTGAGTGACAGAGTGAAAGTATCATGTATGTTGATGACACAAGGTGGATACATAGTGAAATTGTGTATGATTTAATTATACAGTTTTTTTTTCCTTTTTTATTTTAAGATTTTCTAGTTCAAACTTTGTACTTTTTGGAAAAGGACAAAACCTTTTTTTAAAGAGAAAGAACGTAGATTTATTTATACACTTTTTGTACATTTGTAGATTTTATGAAAAGGTATTATGACTTTATTTTTCTATTTAAAAACAATGTAATATTAAAATTAACTTTTAATAACTAATATTATGAATTTATTATTAAATAAAAAAATGTTGTTTCTTAACGATATCAAGCACACTAGGTTTATATGAAACAAAATTTATATCTTAGAATTCCGACGATCATCTTAAACTACTAATACAGTTTAATCCTGCATTTTTAGTTTTATTATATAGTCAAGCATAAAAAACAACATATGTTCAACTTGAAATCGAGAATGTTGAAAAATGTATCATAAAGTATTACCACTTTATTAATTTATTGTGAATTAAGGAAAGCATATTCATGATATTTTTGTTAGAAGGGTATCACCCAAAACTACACAAAAGAACAACAAGAAAGAAAAAGTACTTGAGACCTGTGTTTAACACAGTTTCATTAAAACAAATTCTACTTATATGAGTGTTTGTTTCCTAGGATACAACAGTAGAAAGTGACTCTTCTAGGTCACCCGAACCTCACTTGGCCCGAAATATACCTTGGTTGCAGCAATATATGGATGATGAAGCAAAAACGTAAGAGAGGAAGAGTAGTGTTTTGTTTCATTCGGTGTATCCCATCAATATCCTTAAGTCTCTATGTATACTCAGAATAATAGAGGTTAAAAAATATAACTTATGTGATTAATATGAAACCGTAACTGTCAAAATTCAATGACACCATTAATCAAGAAATCAAAACCGAAATTTGTCATCAATGGCCTTTAATTTCAGGTTTAAAACTGTTTAAATGAAAAGACAATAATTGAAAAAAAGATCATTGAGCTTTCTGGTCGACTGTTGGTGCATTCGTACCTGCACGACATGCGCTTTCACAAAAGTTCATTGGCCCGAAGCCAAACTGGCTCGCATTTGCACCTCCTACGTGCGCGCGCAAGAGAGAGCCTTGGTTCCATAAGTTTTACAAAGGTAACTAGGCTTTGTAGTTATAAACCCATTTCCTTTTCATACTCCCACCAATCTCGGATGAATTAAACCCAATAAACCACTTGTTTTTACTTTTCCAAACACCTCACTTTAACATGTAATTTTCTCATTCATCTTTAATCTATTTTGGATGTACAATGTATCAAAACGAAGGTGTCACGGAGGAGAACACAAATATGTAATCATTTGTCCATTATGATTACATCTAAAGTTCGAAATTCATGCTCAAAGATGGGAAAAACCAAATTTTGGAAATTGGTAAAACCAATTTTCCAACAATCCCCCACATGAATGAAAATTTCTTCAAAATTTCCATGTTGCTTAAGTAAAATCCAACAGTTGAATAATGCATATGATACGTAGGTGTTACCCTTTAAACCTTCCCTTAAGATATATATTTATTTAACTAGTAGACCAGTAGACTCGATGTCCGTGAACTGTTCTTTCATTTGTATAAATAATCAATACATATTGTAACGTCCCAATTTTCAAGGCCAAAAAAATTTCATTTTAATTAAGTAATTTATAAAATAGTTACCCAAAACATCGCCATTGTTACATCAATCCACAAAACCATAATATCGTATCTCAAAACCCAATCACCAAAAGTAATGAAAATCAGACTACAATCCCAGGAGTCTCATAGTGCGGAATCCAGTGTGTGTGTGATGTGCTGCTACCGCGACGACTCCTTCCCCTTCACTGAAGAGGTACCTGACACCCAAAACTGTAAACCGTAAGCACAAAGCTTAGTGAGTTCCCCCCATCATACCACATACCACATAATGTCTATCCCTCGATATCTTTCAACCGGTATCTGTCTGGCATAACTAGGAGCCGGGCTCCCCTTCGGTATCTTTCAACCGGTAACCGGGAGCTAACCTCCCCTTTGGTATCTTTCAACCGGTAACCGTGAGCTAACCTCCCCTTCAGTAGCTTTCAACCGGTAACCGGGAACTAACCTCCCATTCGGTATCTTTCAACCGGTAACTGCCTTCGGTATCTTTCAACTGGTAACCGGGGACTATTTCACCCCCTACCACTATCACATAATAACATATCATATTCATACTGCTAGGCATGCATGGGTACTATCTTCCCCCTTCGGTATCTTTCAACCGGTAACTAGGGGTCATATCACCCCTACCACTACTAACACATATACCATAGCATTCTAGTACATAAAGCATATCAGATAGCAACATACCAGATAATTATCACAAAGACAATCATCTTACAAACAATCCCTACTAGTGGGTCGGCATTGTGGCCGTAGACCCACTCCTACTGGAAGGTAACTCACCTCGATGTCGTGTAGTGTCTGAATTGTCCCTTGCGTGAAGATCGACTCTCCTCGACTCCTCAATACCTACACGACGACCCTTCTCAATCATCAAATGGAATATACAACCCTAACCAGGGTCAACTCAAGTCCAGTCAAAGTCAATATTGGTCAAAGTCAACACCCAGTTGACCCGACTCGCCGAGTTGGTCTACCAACTCGTCGAGTCCATACTTCACTAACCCGATCCAACCCCGACTCTACTCGTCGAGTCTAGCAAGAACTCGAAGGGATCTCCTTCATTCAAACCATCGGGACCATCTTCATCTGACTCGCCGAGTTCATCCTTGTACTCGTCGAGTTCATCTCCATCATAAGAATGTGTCCAGTCTATGACTCGCCGAGTTGTATGAACAACTCGTCGAGTCCATCTTCAAAGATTGGGAGATTGCCCTGGACTCGCCAAGTCTGCTCATACACTCGTCGATTCCCATGATTCCCATGTCCCTTTTCGTGTCTAAACATCCACGGGACTTCCTCCCTAACAATTGGTCCATCCACAGAAAGGATTTGGTGGTCAATACACCGCGACTCGCCGAGTCCCAAGAACAACTCGTCGAGTCCATCCTTGAGCAATACTATACAGCAGATTTCAATGGGTCTTAACACCTCAAAACGATAGATCTGGCCCCCTAATGTCCATTTCATACGTAAAGTTCCAAATTTGGTACACATGCAAGGGGTCCTTGGACCAAAAAGCCATAAAAGATGGCCTCCAAAGTGCATGGGGTGTTCATGGCAACAAAATGGGCACCTTTGTGCCATAAAACCCCCTA